AAGTGTAAGCGAGCCGATTGTGCACCGTTCTTGAAGCCACCGAATAAGCTTTTAATCGATGCCATAAAATATCCCAATCACAACTTCTACCGGTTTAAAATCAAAGCTGCACAGTTTGTTTAGAAATGGGCGTGGCTACGACATTCCTGGGTAAAGGAGGCGTGGCTTCTAACAATGGTACCAACCTTTGCAAACGAACTCTGTTCATGTTTTTGGATAAATTGAGTGATGTACTCTCCTCACTTTTATGTTCAACCCACGTCTAATAACTCCTTCTTTAGCGATTTCGCGTGCACTTCAGAGGTGGTTAAATGACATGTGTTTAAATAATTGTAACTATAAGTAAAAGTTGTCATTGCCGGGGAATGCCCACTAAGTAGTTTCTATAAGGCGCTTGCCTCGCTGTTGGTTTTGTTATTGTGGTGACTTCAGAACGAAGAGCCACAACACTTACCATCAAGTTTTGACGACTTCCCTCTCTTCTAATTTTGAACGCTGAAGCTATTGAAGTGATTAATTAAATGACTATTTCTTCGTATGCATACGATTGTTCGTTAAAACTTCAGGGGCCGATTAACGCGTTAGCGTTAGAATTTTTAGAGAGTGCAACCTCTGAAATCGCAGACGTCGACCTTCTTTTTGATGCGGACTCATGAACAGCTTGCTGAACAGCCGGCGTACCTGGTTTGATTCCGACGAAACACATGAAGTCTGTATGGGCTCACAAAGTGTACACGTAGCTGATGCGCTCGCAGGCGGGGTGCCCCAAAAGTAAACGTCTTCAGGCTTATGATAGGATCCATAGCGACATGTGGCGCCCACTTCCAGTCTCATGTTTCCAGGGCACCTTTTGGTTTCCAGACACCAGTGATCGTCCAGAAAGTACGCCCGTTTAACTTAAAAATAATTAAATTAAGAGAGCTGGGCGCCTGCGAGACTCGGGATAGGCCAGCCCGCCGTACACGCATACGCTGCAGGAAATATATTGCCTGCCTACCAGGCGCTACGAGAGCTTGCATAGGCTGAACTTGGCAGCTTTGTAACGGCAAATGGCGGACGTAGGATGATCTCTATTTCCCCTCCCACATCACAGCACAGATGTGTATATGGTACTCTGACAGGGAAAAGGTGTGTTTCATGGAGGCACTTCAGACTGCGCGTATGGGTAGTCTGCCTACTGCATGATGGACCAGTTGCCAGAGTTGGCCAGAGGTGTCTACACACACACAGGGCAAGTGTTAGAAGTGCTTGCTGCATGGACGGACAGGGCAGAGGTGTCTCAAAAGCATACTTACGCCCAAAGTTATGCCAAATATTTGGCAATATGTCGCCCGATCGGTGAACCCCTCCTAAACTACAGTGCACTCGCTCGAGCCGTCAGGGGCGTCAAAGGCGCCACGCTTGTGCACATCTCTACGAAGTAGTGCTGCGCGCGCCGTAGATACGAGGGAAAGCGTGCTTTTTCTTACAAGTGTTAACAGTGTGCCGCTAATAATTTTACAGGGGTATTATACGGCGCCCCACCGCGCCCCTCCCCGCGCCAGTGCAGGCGGGCTCCGGGGGCCAATTAATCCCTGTCCACAATGCATTCCGCGCGGTGCTCCGCCCCGGTGGCGGCGCGCTGGTGGCGCGCGGGCCCACGGCTGCTTCACGGGGCCCGGGGAGTGCTCCAGCGGCTGAGAGGAGCGCGCCGAACAGAACACGGGGCTGCCAGGAGCAAGCGGGAAACAGCCCGGCCCTCTGAGGAGGGGAACACAACTTGCAGCCTTGAGCCCGAACATTATCGAAATTTTCAGGTAACTTAATTAAGTTTTGATACATGGTGTATTGCATGGGTATTTGACACTTTCGCGGACTACCTTACACCGCGGTGACGGAATCGGCGAAAATACAAGTTAGTAAGTTTCGTTCAAAATCAATTTTTACAGTGTGCGCTATCATCGGTGCAGTGCTTGCATTCTTCGCACCTACGGCAGTATTTTAAGTGGCGGTAGTGGTCGGGGATAGAGGAAGGAGGGGCATTGGGGGGCAGAAGGGCATTGTGTAGGAGCGTTGAACCTCCCATAGCGTACGGTCCGGCAACACTACGGCAGCACGGCGTCGACGGCGTCCTACAGGCTGTACAGGCGCCGCTGCCCGCCCGTCCCCCCGCTAGGAGAAGTGCCTCTCATCTCTATGGTGCGCCGCGCGCCGGCTGCGATCTATTTCTTATAACGCACGAACATGTCCAAGGAATCTGCGGTTTTACAAATTTCCACCCATGAATTGCACTTTAGTTTTTCTGGATATTACTCGGGGGTCAGGTGAACACGTTCACGTCCAGTGCGGTGTTGTGATTGTGCATCCAGTGGTTGTAAAAAACAGCAAAGCATGACCACATTGTAGGTCACGCTCACAATGAACGTGTCTCTGGGGACGTAAGAAAATTGAGATTTCTAATCGTGTTTCCTTAATTTAAAATTTTAATTAATTAATTAATTAATTAATTAATTAACATATTTTTCAACTATAACATAACATTCTTTTGCCGCCCCCCCCCCCCCCCCCCCCCCCCCCGTAGCGCCGCTTCTTCAATGCGCATTAAAATGCACAAAAAAGGTTACACATTCCTGACGCATTTAATGCGCATTAGTGCATTAAATGCACATTTAGTGCGCATTACGCGCATTAAATGCGCAAGGAATGCGTAACCTTTTTTGCGCATTTTAATGCGCATTAACGCATTGAATGCGCATTGGCGCTTCTGAGGCCAGTGAGCAATGAAATATCTGACCGATACCGAAACGACGTCAGACATCAGAAATTTGTCGGTTTTCGCACCAGATTGATGAAATTTACACCTTTTTGATTGATATCTGATATCGTTCTGACATCGGTCTGAGATTTCTTTGCTCACTGAAGGGCTTCTGGAGAGCAGGGTAGCGAACGCAACGGAGCGAGCGAACGGGAGATTCAAGCGAGCTAACCGTGGAGCGAGCGAACAGCGCGGCGCGAGCGGGCGAGCGAATGCAGGAGCGAGCGAGCAAACGAGCGAGCGAGCATAAAATCAAATCGAAATAGCAAAGATTTGACGTACAAACGCTGCTCCGAATAAGTTGTGCTCGTATGTATTTGCTGTTTTCGTGAAAATAAATTGGAAAATAAAGGGAGACAACGTGTGATTCGCTCTCCCGGTTCTCTTCTCTAGCTCGTTCGCTCGCTCGCTCGCTATTGCGTTCGCTCGTCCTCTCTGTTCGCTCGCTCGCTCACGCTCTTAGCTCGCTCGCTCGTGCCGTTTGCTCGCTCGTTCGCCATCCGGTTATCTCGCTGCCCTGCTCTCCAGAAGCCTTTCTGGGTTGGCTAGTGGCACGCTCGTGCACGTGCACGTATACTTTACAAAACACGCAAAGAGAATATGGCTCCGTCCAAATTCTCATCAGTCCGGTTCGTTTCGTTTCCTTTCGTTTCTTTTGTGGGTGAGGGGGGGTGAAGAAGACCCCCTTCTTCACCTCCCCTCACCCACAAATGAAACGAAAGGAAACGAAACGAACCGGAGTGGTGAGAATTCGGACGGAGCCTATGCCTCACGGCATATTTCTCATACTCGACAGTAGCAGTACAGTCTGCTCAAAAATGTAAACACTGCGTTTCGTAAACATTACGTCCTCTGGCGAATCTTGTAAACGCCGAGAACGCTTTTCTTCTCGTGTCAGTTTTCTAGTCGAAGCAAAATGTTCGCAGCATACGCTAGCACAAGTAAAGGCGAGGCCAATGAGACGAAAAGTGCAAACTCTGAATCCAAAAAAAATGGTGAGATTTCCTGAGTTTGTAGGTTATTAGTTTTCGGCTGTAATGTTATCATCTTCTCATATACAACAGATAGTTCTCGTTTCAAAACCAGTTTTTCGCTGTCTATCTCGTATTTTTTAAGTTGCTATGTACTTAATTCCGTTTGCTCATTCTGTGTTATCTGTTGTAGAATGGCTGTCAAACTCAAGCTTTAATGTCAACTCGGATGTCATTTCAAATATTCAAGGTAGGCTTGGTGAAAGCATTGTGCCAGCCAGAGAAAAAAGTGGATTGAAGACTGAAATGCTGGATGGTAGCAAAAGCAATGACAACTCAGACTCCTTTTCTACACCACCTAGCTCTCCTTCAACACCTCCGAGTTCTCCTTCGACACCTCTTAGCTCTCCTTCTACACCCCCTAGCTCTCCTTTACCACCATCAGGCTCATCACAAGCCTCAGATATTTTAGTTTTGAATTCATTTAAATCTGCACAGCACAGCTCAAGCTTGAGCCTTCATCAAAAAGAATTGTGGAATAGCAACACTAGTGAAAGAACTCTAGACACTACCAAGCAAAGAAGAGAAACAAGGAAAAGAGAACGCTCCATGTCAATTAATCACCCTCGTAAGAGCTCCAGTTCAAGTGGGAAAGACTCATGGAGTCCTCAGAGGAGCACCGATATAAGTAGGAGAGACAGAGAAAGAAAGAGATCCAGAACTAGGCAGAGAAGTAGAAGTAGAGAGAAAGAAGTATCAAGCACATATAAAAAATATCAGAAAAGGCTCAAAAAACGAAGGAGCTCCAGCAGTAGTGGGACCGACAGTAGTATTGACAACAGCAACACCAAGTCGCATAGAAATAGTGATGTCAGGTACCACAGTTTTTCAAATTTGCACTTTCTTGATCCACATTGAAGCATAAAAATAATAATGTTGGTTATTTCTTTTAGGTTTAATGATTTAAAAAACATGCCATACTATGAAGACAGGACCAGGGCTTTAGGAAACTTAAATGTTACAACTCTTTCTCGCCCAGTTGCAGCACGGTACTGTTGTGGAAGAGAAACATAGTAATATATGTCTTACCTATTTGATCACAAAACATCATTTTATGTTCCAGGTATTATTGTTCTAAAAAAGGCTTAGGCATTTCTAGAAATTATTTGCCACAGTCCAAGCGCCGCACTTTAAAACTACGTTACTACAATAAAATTATTAAAGAAATGGAGGCTGACATGACAAGTATGTGACATTTCTTTAAATCTTAAACAACTATTTGTTATTGGAAAATTGCACCTGGCCAACTTTAATAATTATATATATCAAATTTTAGCAAGGAAAAAGTTAGAGAGTATTCCAAAAAATAGAGGGCAGATCCAAGGGGATGTTAATGACGTTGAAGGAGAAATCTCTCATGAAACAGCCAAATTTAACCATGATCTAGCGGAAAATCCCCAAAATACTGATCTATGGAGAAAATATGTCCAATTTCAAGTAAGATTATTACACCATTAGTTTAATAGAGTTTACTCAAGTCTGTTAATATGAAAATAGAAAACTTAAGTGAAATTGATTTAAAACATGTCTCTTTAAGGATGTAGTCCACCAATTTGAGAGAGTATACAGAAGGGGAGGAGGTGCTTCTGGTGCAAGAGTAACTTCGGAACGCAAGTTGGCTATCCTCGATAAAGCTCTGAAAGAAAATCCAAAGTCTGAAGAACTGCTCAGGGAGCGATGTCAGCTTGCAGAGTCTGTACTACCAAGTGACAAGGTTATTAATTTTGGAATTTTACTCAAGAGATAATTAGTGTCCTCATAACTATCTTCTTTTATCTGACTATTGTTTCATCATCACAGTTAACACAACAGCTGAAAACATGGATTGGAACAGATCCTGGAAACCTTGCTCTCTGGGAATCATTAATTATGGCTTCACAAGGCTCTCTCTCAGCCTGCAAAGTTCCAGCTGTCAAATCCCTTTATCAAGAAGCTTTCACAAATATTCACAGTTTGAAGAGAGGAAACACAGGTTCTGCTGAAACAATTGAGGCCAAACTTATTAGTAAGTCATATTTATCTTCAAAGGGAAGTCCTCCTGAGATTTTACAATTTTTTATATTGATTCACAATTTTTGTTGATTCTAGGTCTTGTGCTTCACTTTGGCCTCTTTTTACGTCAAGCTGGGCTGTGGGAACTTATGTGGTCTTTCCTTAATGTTTATTTAGAATTTAACATTGCTAAGCTTGATCCTACAAAATTCCATATCACAAACACTGTTGCAGATAATGCTCTGAGTATGTAATCTTTCCATTATTGCAAAGTGTTTTGCCTACAAAATAATGTACTTACTGTTTTCTATTATCTGATCTAACTAAATTACTGCAGCTGAACTGGAAGAAGCTATACTGAAATCACAACTTCCCTTGTCCACATTGTGGTTAAGAGTAGAGACATTACGAGCTGGTACCCATTGGGTCCCACTTCCAGTTGATGCAGAAAGTGAAGATCCACAGAGATTGGTGTTTCCAGAAGATGTGAATGACTTAATTCATCCAATAAACTCTCCTCATTTGAATTTCCGTCTTGTGACAGTTACTTTGTCACTTCTAAAGGTATCAACTTTAGCAGAGCTTGAATGTCAGTTAAATTTTTGCTTATAACTTATGAATTGATCACTTACCCTTTATTTTCCACAGGTGCCAATATTACCTTGGCGAGAAAGTGCTGCTAAAGCAGCTGGTTTACATCCACTTCCATGGCTTCTGGATGGTCCAGAACCACTATTTGCATCACTCCTGCCCCTTGGAACTTTAGAATTCAAGGAGACAAGTACTCTGCTTCAGGATGCATCACAGTTGGCTTCTGGACCTCAGTATTTGATTGCCCGTCCTGGTCAAGATGAATATATTGACTTTTTGACTCAAGTGTTTTCTGCTTGTGCAGACTGCTTGCCAGCCTCTCAAAAAACATACTTGATGGTTTGGTGGCTGCGCTTTTACAGGTTAATTTTTGATCCAATTGATTTCCTTGAGCCATGATTGGCATTTAATATTATATAACTCAAAAGATATATTTGTATGCCTTCAGATGGTTAATGCAGCTGGAGCGTTTAGGGCATTGCAAACTTCCTCGAGGTCGAAAAAAGAAAATGAGGTCAATGGCTAAAGATTTGTTGAGACATGAATCAAACAGGAGTAATTTGCTTCTCTTTAAAGAATTTGCACTTCTGGAGTTAGAAAACGGAAGTGTAGATGGCGCCAAAAAAGTATGTTTGTTTTAGTTCCTTGACTTTACTTAAATTCTTCAATTGTCTACTGAACTAAATACTTGGATAAAATCTTTCAGGTTCTTCAAGGTACGATTTCTGCCCTTCCAAACAATAAGCCAGTACCCATTGCTACTGATAGAGCGTACATCTGTACCTTATACCGCACATTGGTCGAGGTTCACCTTTCTTTAACACACAGGGAACTTACAAATGATGCACAAGCAAACAGCTCAACAGAAAGTGAACAAAATGTAGAAAATAGGTAGGAAGCATGTTGCTTTTTATCTTATTGTAAGGCTTCACAGACAGTTTCTATTTTATATTTGTTCTTTATAGGAAAAAAGCCCTGAGTTTGCTTGTTTCATTGGGCAAAGGAGCTGTTTTGAAAAATGAGCAACCATCAAACACTGATGTTGCAGCCGCTTTATCTAAGTTCAATCACGTTACAAAGGCTGCCTTAGACAATCCTGAAACAGAAGAATTGGACACATTAATAGCTCCTGATGTCTGCCATCTTGTGCCAACATTTTTGGTTGAGTGGACAGTGTGTCATGGCTGGCTCCTTTTTTTGTCCCATTCAATTTGGAAAGCTACAACTATGTTTGAAAATGTTCTAAGAGAACTTGAGTCTCCAGAATCTGCATCATCTCAACAGGAAAAAATGTAATTGACCTCATCCTTCCATTGTTTAAAGGCTAATCTTAGTTTGTTACTGCTCTCACTGAACAGATTATGTATGATTTGTCTTTAGCGTCAAAGTGCAGCGTGAAGCCTTGCTTGAATCATACATCTCCCTATTACGACATCATTGCTTTGAGACTCGTGGATCCTTTGGTGTCTTGAGAGAAGTGATTCTTCGAGGGCTAAAGGAATTTCCTGGTAACCTTGTATTTTCAGCCGCATTAGCTGATTTAGAGGTATATTGTTATCATCTAGGTTGTTAGTTGTTTACAAAAACATAGGCCATTATGTTTCCAACAAATTTAACTAATATCAGATTATTTTTGTTTTCCTCCATAGACAAGCAACAGTGGAACTGGTTTGCCACTTTGGCGCTTATCAAAAATATTCTATGAATTGAATTCAGCAATAGCCTATGTTCTTTTTGTATTTGTTATGAGATATCGACTGAAACAACAAGAACTATGTGCTCACAACACTCATTCTTATCTCAATCAAGGTACTCTACCAACAATTATGCTATATGAATGTTATTACCGGTATTGTAAAGTTCTTGAAAAAAAATAATCTTTTGATTAATTTGTGGAATGTCTTCCTATCATAGGAGGACCTGAGTTACCAGATCCTAACACCAGAAGCAGAATGTCAACGCTATTGAAAAAACTGACCAAGCACTCGATTATGCGTCGCTGTCCAATGCTCTGGCGCTTAAGATTACAGTTTGCAGCAGCTGTCAGCCACAATGATTCTGAGTATAGTAGTACACTTTACCTTGCCTTGGAAGACTGCCCATGGGCTAAGGTAAGTTATTAATTTTATTTACTGCTCTCACTTTGCCTTATCTTTTCATAAAAAAATTGTAAAATGATTTACTTACAGACTCTTTATATGGACATAGTCCAAGTACTCCCAACTCAACTGGCACAAGTGCAAGACCTTTTGGTGGAGAAGGAACTACGATTGCATGTAACACCAGAGGAATTAGAAATTCTTCGTATTGATTAAGTAATTGTCACAATAAAGAATTATGAAGACTAGACAACTTTAATTACCCCCTCCCCTACCCCCTATTGTGTTTCTGACTGAAAGGCTGGAAAAAGGTCAAAGGAAGTAAAAGTTAAAAGGGCTTGTCTCCATCTAGAACAATAGAGAAGGTTTAGTGGTGCGCATTGAAATATGCCCTAAAACGTGACACATTTTAGAAACATTAAATGCGCATTGCCACACAAAATGCGCACGTGATGCGTCTAATACACATGAAATTCGTCAAAAATGTGTTACTTGTTATGCAGCGGCCATGTGGAAGATATGGCCAGCAGACCGCGCAGGTTTGAATCGAGGAAACGGAAATGCTGCCCTGTGCAGGGCTGTGCTCTCGTTCATTTGCTCTTGTTACATTACATTACAACGGGCAACTGGTAACTTCAAGTCCCTTTCTCGTTTCTGGTAATCTATCATCTAGTTTTCGTTTACAAAGTAACAATTTCGAGAAAAAAAAGCATATCAGAAAAGATGAATCTGCCAATAATCGACGTCAGCTGTTTGGATACTATTCACAGAATACCTGCCAAGGCCAAGAAGACGAACCTAGAATTTGGTGGTTAAGTTGAGATTGTCATTGGTTTCTGCGCGACCACAAATATTGTTTTTGCCCCTTGCTAGTCAACCAAATTCACAATGATCCCCAAGGGCACACCTACTATCACATTATCCAACAGGGAAATCCGTGCTATTCAGGACAAGGCACGGCAGCGGCAGGAACTACGAGAGTTCCTCATCAAGGAAAAGTCGAACCCTTTTAAGACTGCTGCTGCAATGGGAACAGGATATATAGTAAGTGGTTTTACATCAAATAAATTATTTCGTGTTGCTATGAAGTACTCAATATGCTGTTGGAGTCACCTTGTCGTAACAATACATGGTATTTACGTGGTAATCACCGTCTGCTTTCCTTTTACAGATGGATCCAGCGTTTCAACGTTATGAAGCAGCACAAAGTTTCATGAGTGAATGGACGCATGGCAGACCAACTTTGAAATCTGGAATGTGGTTCTTGGGTGCTGTTATTGCTCCAATCGTTGGAATTGGACTGTGGGCCCATTTTACCCGAGTAAGTATTGCTAGTAACTTCTCTGCATGAAGTATTTGTACAAATTTATTTTTCTTCATAGCGTACAGTATAGTAGATACTTTCATGCTGACACTTGCTTTATTTGTTTGTTACAGAAAGAATTTGAGGGTAGATGTCGACGTGGTGAAATTTCCTACTTTGATCGCAATAACAAATTTGTTTAAAAGTTATCTCATTGATGATTAATGTTCAATGCTGTATGTAAATATTCCCCTTAAGTCTCTGCATCTTTTATCATTTTATCTGTCCCTCCTGTTACCATTGGTAATAGATTTTTGACTTAGGGAAATTAAAATAGTTTGAAGACATTTTTTGAGAACGTGATTTGTATTTTCCAAAATGAGTTTGATATACATTTTTAAAAAAGCAACATATAATCTTAAAGTAAACATTCTAATATTATGCAAAACATACATCATAATTGATGTATTGAAAACAACCAAAAGGGACAGTCTACATTGACTTTTGATCTCCCAACTGCTTGTCTCTACTGATGACATGATCTTCAAACTTCACCATGTAAGTAGTCCCTTTATGCCAGTGAGCTGTCACTTTACAAGCCTGGAAATAGAGGCAGGGAAATAATTGAAAAGGTACCAGTACTAGTGAAATACATGACCAATAGTCCTACAACTTACAAAACCACACCCATTCAGTACTGCCTCAATAATTCCAGCCACAAATACTGCACAGTTCAGACTCCCCTTGTCTTTTGGAACTGAAATATACTTATTGACAAGAGGTTCATCTTCAATAATGTAGTAAGTTGCTTCATCATCATTGGCACGCTCTAATTTGTCTGCTTCCCTGCCAAATAACGACTGACAAAGGAGGACAAATCTGATCATTAGATGATCAAACACAGGAAATTCAATAAGCAAGAGCTTGCTTCTCTTTTATTGTCTTACTTTCCATAATGTTGTCTTGATGAAGAACAGCATGTGAATGAGTTTAGTTTCTCGTTTCCAACTACGATCACGTACAAAAAATAAATCAATTACTTTGGAGCCTACATCTTGGCCCATTTCTGCTAATCTGAAAATTATAAAAATAAAATTTAATTCAATGGCAATAAAGCTCTCACATACATTTTCAAATCTAACAGTAGGTTCACTATAAATGAAGAAGATGAGGCAATGTACTACACTCACTTGGTCTGAAGCTCTGGTACAGTATAAACACGATTTTGACAATATTGTACAAGCTCAGAGAAAAGTAAAGCAAACGAACTTAAACTAACTTCGCCTTTTCCTTTGCTTAGGGGCTTGTCTAGCAGACTTGTCTTTGGCCTCACAACAGATATTGTTATTGCGTTGCTCATGTTGAAAAGCGTCCCTAACGAATGGATTTCGCTTAAAGTCTTTTTCGACAGACACAATTAACACAAAATAATGCTAAATGTTTACGCCGTTCGGCCCAGGTTGGTTTTGGTTTGGTTGTGTGATTGTGATTTGACAGCAACAGCAGACAGAAGGTTACGTACAGAGGGGGTTAATTTGTTGCCAACATCAAAAAACTTGCTGACTCTCTCGTCCCACACTTGTCCACTCATTAAGGAAGTAGAATAGCGATGGTTTGTGCATAAGGTATCTTCAAGGTGCAAGGACGTATTATAATACTCACCGTTTCTCCAAAACTAAAATCAACACTGTTCGGAGATTCAATAATTACAGTTTGCACTTGATCAGTCGTCGATTTGGCAAAAGAACAGAAGTAAGAAGAGAGGCGAGAGGGAAAAGGAAAGGGGAGGGGAAGAAGGGGCAATCATTTTTCATGGCGGGTTTGAACCTTGATCCACAAATGGTTTCATCATCTTTAAAGAGTGGTGTGGTATTTGTTCATTCATCGAGTCTGCTAAAGCTCTGAAAGAAGATGGGTTTCGAACACCGACATGGCTAGTTGAAAATGAGTCAAAGTTCAAAAGCCAAAGAAAACGACATGGCGGGGTCGAAAGGGGGCTCGGCATCGGCTGCTGGAGTTAAAGGAGTTTTCAGCCACATGAAATACGAACATTTGATCGCTGGAGTGTCCGGTGGGGTGACATCAAGTGTCGTCTTGCACCCGTTGGATCTAATCAAAGTTCGATTCGCCGGTAAGATGTAAAACAGTTCTTCTATGTGCAGCAGTCAAGGTGACTGCATTTTGTTAGCCTAACCTTAACTTTTGCATGGGTCTTGGTACAGGCGGATTTTGCAGCAGTTAGCTCAGATGACTGCCATTTCCTCCCAAATTACTTCATCTTGTCTTCTATGTTTCAGTGAATGATGGGCGGACTAGCATGCCTCAGTACAACAGCATACGAAATGCATTAGTTACAATTTACAAACAGGAGGGTATCCGTGGCCTGTATAGAGGTGTAGTACCGAACGTTTGGGGTTCTGGCACTGCATGGGGCCTCTACTTTTTATTGTGAGTTACTATTCTATTAATGTTTTCCTTTTCTTTATATTTTTTCCACATGCTAAATTTGTCATGCAGACCCTCTACACAGTTCTAATTCTCTTTCAGTTATAATACCACTAAAACATGGGTTCAAGGTGGTGATCCAAATATGCAGTTAAGCTGGCCTATGCACATGGGAGCTGCCGCAGAAGCGGGTATTTTAACTCTATTTTTAACAAACCCTCTTTGGGTTGTGAAAACTAGGTTAGTATAATGCCCCCCCCCCCTTCCCCCTCAATGTTTAATATTTTGTGTTCCTCTGTACTTGTATCTCAAAGCTAAGTGGAAATTATAAAATTTCTTTTCTAGACTGTGTACTCAATATGGAAATGAGAAGCCGCTTTACAGTGGTATGATAGACTGCTTTAACAAAATTTACAAAGCTGAAGGAATACCAGGAATGTACAAGGTATGCTGTAAATCTGAATAATGAAAGTGGAGGAAGCTTGTGCATGTTTACTGTAATTACTTTTTATGTAGGGCCTTGTACCTGGTATGATTGGAGTTTCCCATGGTGCTATTCAATTCATGGTGTATGAAGAAATGAAAAATTGGTACAATAATTATAGAGGAACAGTTTTAAGCACAAGGATGGTAGGTTTCAAATGGATTTCCTTTTTGGCTAGTTTAATCTTTTTGGAACTTGTTTGGTAATTTTGAAATTGAATGTTATTTTTTTCAGAGTACATCAGAGTACCTATTCTTTGCTGCTGCATCAAAATTAGTTGCAGCTTCAATCACATATCCGTATCAAGTGGTCCGCGCCCGGTTGCAGGATCATCATCACAATTATGCAGGCACTATGGATTGCGTCTCCAAAACCTGGAGGTATGAGGGCATTCGAGGGTTTTACAAAGGAGTGGGTCCCTACTTTCTCCATGTGGTCCCAAATATTTGTTTAGTGTTCCAAGGTTATGAGTGGGTTACATATTTATTGTCCCCTGGAAAGGGATGGGAAGGCAGCTGACAATTATCTAAACATTAGCTCTTAAAATATATCTTCGAAGCAATTTTACAGGATGTATGTTTATGAATTTTTTAAGTGTTATTAATCGTAATCAAGCTGTAACCAAGAGGATTTTTAATTTGCTGTGCAGCAGTGTGATAGATATTGTGACCTCTTGTGACATTTTCACCAGAATTGGCTTGTGCTCCTTTGTGTAAAAGATTTTTTTTTTGTAGTGCTTTCCTCTTGAACAACTTTTCTTTTCTTCCCTTTATTTCTGATAGCCAAGTGCATGGAAAGATAGTATCTGGTTTCAATACTGATAATTTCTCCTCTTAGAGGTAGAATTTTATTTTGCCTGCCCACCGTAACTTTCGTATCTGGAATATTTTTGACAGAGGCACAACAGAATCCGTAATAACAAACATGTGTACCTCCCTACCTCCTGACATTTTGTTCCCCCTGTGAAAATTATACAGTTAAAGCTAGATTTGTTTTCATTCACCATGCATACATACATGAAGAACCAAGGCCGTTGGTGTATATTTGTACTTAACTGCTTTGTGCTATATCTCAGTCATCCTTTCATTGAATGCCTTTTTGCTAAAGCATTTAAAAGTTCAATCTTTTTCCAAAGTTTGAGTTTAGTGAACTGATTTAGTTTCTTGATGCAATGGTTCACCATCTAATAGCCAACAATAAATTAATGATAGTGCCATTTTTTACTCGTTCTTTACCTCCATTCTCACTTCCCTCTCGGAGGTGGAAGAACGAGTATTATGCTTGGTCTGGTGTAATTTAGCGACTCGATTCATCTCGGTAACCACAACACCTACAACTATGCCAGTTGTATCAAACTGTAGGTCTTGGCGGCCTCACCAATCCATAATAGAGGTTTTTTTCGGTTTATTACGCAAAATTTAAAGAAATTTCAGAAATAAGGTCGAAAAAATCGCCGGTCGAGCGTGCGTTTCGGATGGTTTTTCTACACGGACAAATATCTTAATAGAGATAAGTTTTACCTGAAAAAATTTGGCTAAACAACTAAAAATAGGCTAGCCGTTAATGTTTCAACTTAAAACAATCATATTATAACCTTTTTTGGTCCTCATAATGATTAAAACCTATCTCAAATGAAATTATTTTAACACGAAAAAAACAATCAAGCGCATGCGCGAACAGCGCCATCTATTGAGAAAAGCTAAAACTGCGTCGGCGCGAAAAGTTTTGAAGAGCGGTCATTGACAACAATGATCTTTCTGTTTTCATTTCATAATCACACCAGACCAAACTTGGGTAAAGAACGAGGTTTCTCCTAATGTATCAAACATGTTTGATGCCCTGATGCTCTTCTTGTTGTTTTGTCATCTAACTAGACATTCTTCTACTTTTCTCTAGCTATCTTATGTCAATTACAATCAACTTCCATGTATTATGTGTATTCTTCCAATATTTGTGTCAGGAACTCAGAGATTGTTTTTTGTTGTTTGTTTTCCTCAGCATTTGTTACCCAACATTGATTTGTTTTTGGACCTTAGACAAATTTAGTCTATTGTGCAATAATCATCTTCATCTTGTTTGATAAAACAAAGTTTTAGGAAATTTTGAAACTTCCCTTACAAAGAAAAGAAAGTCAGTACTTTGAGTTGTTTACTTTTTATAACAGATGATCTATTTCATCTGTGTTAAATATTAAAAGTACCTTTCTGAATATTATTCTAAAGTTGACTGCTGCTTCTGTTTCATGAAGACTCAATATGCAACTTTAAAGCTACTTGGAAATGAAACATTGTCACATGTTTTGCTTTCGAAGAATTTGCTATGATCATAACATAGATGGTTTACAATACTCCTTATTGTTTAATTGAATTTTTATTATTTTGTCAATCTAGGAATTATTCTTTTCACTCAAATCAGAAATAGAGGCAGGAAAACTGACCTCATAACCTGCACAAGCATTTGTAGTAAAAAAAGTGTTCTGTATGAATTCTGATTATTTTTTTTTGTTTTATCTTTGTGCGATTGTGAAAGTTCCAACATGTGGAATCTTGTGATGGTTCTAGAAAAAAAGTGTTTTTAAATCTTTTGAGCTTTCTTATTCTGTTTTATCCAAGTCCAATGACGATGTAACTTCCATCTGTGCAAGTTAACGTCCCAATTTTTTTTTTTTTTTTTCAATGGAGACCTCTTATCAAGCTTACCACAAACTTTGTTTTTGTGTAAAATTGTGATCACTGACTAGTTTCCTGTGTAATTCAGTTTTAAGTGTCATCTCCAGAATTAAGATTTCATATTTCTTTTTTCATCTAATTAAATCAATTGGTTCAATGAATTATCATCTGTCTGCCGGAAAGAAGAAACACTTTCAGTAGTAAAGCTAAGGCATCCACTAATTTCACGTTAGTCCATTCATTCAACTACTAGCAAGAGTCCACTCAGAGTTTTTTAGTGGTCGTGGATTAAAGCAGGGCATCATTTAATTGTGCCAATTAAAGTAAATCCATGTCAATGATAAGCTTGCCATAGTCTCTTTCCTTGATCAAATAGTTTATGAAGATGAATTTTTAAATTTGTTTTTTTTTACATTTCGGTTGTTCCAGATTCGAGGGTCCTCGTGGCTTTTACAAAGGCCTGGGGGCTTCATTGTCTCGTGTGGTGCCAGCTACTATGATCACCTTTGTTGTCTACGAAAATGTGTCTAGATATATTTTAGACCATCCCTTCAGAAATAGAAATATGAACAAGTTGTGAGATATTTTATTTAAACCTGCAAGGGCTCAAGGCTGTGATGTACTAATTTTACTGTATTTTCACTTCACCAGCAAGAAATACACTTAAGATAAAATCGTATTGGCTCTTGCTGGGTCTTTTCTGAACAAAAGTTTCTAATAACGGCAATGATTTCACAGCAGTCCTTTCTAGTCTGTGGTTAGGTGTAGCTGCTGTAAACATGCAATGATGGACGTTGCAGTATGTTTCTTGTTTGAGTGCACACATATTCTGAGAAGAAAGCAAAATACTTTCAGTGTAGTGTGCAGGAACCACACTCTTTTCTTATATGGCTATGGCAAGAAAATAAATTTGACTTATTTCAAAATATTAATATTCATTGAACAAAATACAAAATAAACATACAAAAATGATGATTTCCACTTAATGCACATAAGGTCAGCATCCTTATTCTACAGTAGTCTCTAATTTCATCTTTTTTGCTGGTGATGAAGCAGAATCATCTTGATCCAAAATATCAAAATGTACCTTTATACCCCAATGGTCACTTGGAAAGCTCTGTGTGCCCATCACCTTTTGCAGCCCTATGAGACCAAAATATTTAGGTTTCACTGCTGGGGGGAAAGATTGTCTCAAATATACTCTATCAAACCGACAGCGTGGCTTGAACCGACCAGCCATTTCAGTATTGGTATTTCGAGTCATATCCCAAGTGTATCTGCATTCAGGACGGGAGCCTCCAGCCTCCCAAAGGTCAACCACACCATTGGGAAGCCCTCCACAGAGTACAAGCTGAAAATTATTTTAAACAAACACAATAACTAAAATAGATAAAACGAATCAAATATCTCTAAGTAATACTTGCAATGGAAAACAAACCTCCTTATCTCTGAGATTGAGATCACCTCCAAAAATTACAACTCTGTTCTTGGCTGCATCTGTAACTTCTTTCAATGATTTATTCAACTGATTAACTCTCTCTGCAGCATGGTCAGCAGTACTTTCCAAATGGGTATTTAGCAATGTTAATTTTAATGGTCCTATGTGAGCCTGATATTTAAAAAGTAACACCAATATCAATACAGGCAAAAGAACAATACAAGTAAAAGTTATCAGTCTTGTGATAAAACTCTCACTTCTGTTACAAGCAAGCTCCTCCCCATTAATGAACCTGGGAAATCAACAACACGATGGGAGTCGTAGTATGTTGTAAACCTTCTAAGGAGTGTTGCAGTAAAATATTCTCCATCCCCTGATGCTATACATTTGTACTCTGGTAATTTATTTTCAATGTAAGACAACGTTGAGGGTATTACTTCTTGCAAAAATACAACATCAGGGCTACTCCTGCAGAAATTAAAGTACAAAACTCATCAATATTGGGAAATAAAACTCACCTCTTGTCACGTCTAGAAATTTATGACAAATTGAAGTTAAAGGAACTTACTCAAAAATAACAACACAAACAGCTTTAGTTCTTTTCTTGAGATTGTGAGAATTCAGACCATCAATATTCCAAGTTATGAAAGTCATTTCTGGTGGTGGCTTGGTTGAGCACTGCAAATGTTTGTGTGACAAGGGCCTTATTGCTTGTTTTGGTAGAGGTAACGCAACAGGGGGCACTGCAGCCAGCTGATTGGCTACCGCTTGGCTGAGACAAACAACTCGCTATTGAATCAACTTAACATTTTAAACTAGTATTCACAATTGCATGCTGTCCACATTAAAACTCACTCAATATTAACAACCACAACTGGTGCTTCAGAGTCATGGTCTTCCATCAGGTTGACACCTCCACTGGCTTTGGCTTCAAAGAAAGCATTGATAGATCTCTGTTCCGAAATGAAAGCGGAAGAGTTGAGTTAGAACTACAAGAGCAGAAAGAACAAGGCGTCAGAATGAAACATACCTCTAAATCCCACTTGCGGTCTTGTAAATAGAACTGGGCACATGCTTCATCTGTTCCAGTTATTTGCGCAAACTCTTCCACTCTCTGCTGGCAAATAGTAACATCTGGTATGTCCTCATCGTCGCTCATGATGCTGGTTTCTAAAAAACAAACAACAAATAATGGAACAACTCAGTATGCATTGCAACTCATAACCCTCAGCAACACGGCGTACCGCACAGTTTGTGCAGACACGTTACAGGGTACAAAATGAACAAATAGCACGGATACCCTCGCAATTTCAATATAACGAGTACTTTGTGAGAGAATGTCCACCAGTAGCGATTGGAGTGAAATGTCATCCACATATTTCGCACGTGTGATGACATATAATCATGACAGTATTAACAACCTAAAGAGACACTCCCAGAAAAACACACAGACGACGGTACACTATTCCTTCATTAGCTTCGATACGCACTTTCTCCTTGGTCTAAACAATTCTTCAATTTCGGCAAGGGCTTAACAGCAGACACAAACTCGCGCCAAGACAAAAGACAAGTCAAGACCTGCACCACCCGAAGCACTGCAAATTATTGCGCGAATGGTTATCGGCAGACACACAGAGAGGGAACTAGGGATCATAGTTTATCGACGGCCCCTGCTCCATCAGAGATTGCGTCCGAGTCGATGCTATGCGGAACCTCGCTCATATTCTGCACAAGCAGAGCCATCTCTTTGTACTCGCGGTTCCGATTCGGATGCGGCACACGGACAAGTCACGTGTTCCTCCCACCATTCTACTCAACTCCTTCTCTGTCTCTCCGTACATTCTCAATATGTGCGAGTGAGAGAGCTGAGACGTTACATTCCCCCACCCAACGAGCCGAGCCGTTGGCTTCGCTTGCTTGACAGTGGAGTGGAGTGTACAGGAACAGGAGGAGCACAACACCACCACAGGCCAGACACACCAGATCTCGTGTGGAGGCAGGCAGAGGCAGACCGATCCGCGTAGTTGTCGCAGTTTCTCAGCAGCGCAGTTTACTCTACGTTATTGAAGGTGAGCCATTTTAATTTTAGGTTTTTCTTGCACTTCTGGTTCATAGAAATTAGCAGACCGTCATCTATCGATTGGTTTGTTTACGTTTGGCCGAGGAACAGCTGATGGGCTGAGGCCGAGCACAAAGAGTTCTTTGTTTGTTGCCAAACCGAGCACTGCGCGTGGTGACCTCGCAGACCTTGACCGTCGTGAGGTCGTTATGCGCAATTTGGGGATTGCTTTTAGCCTTGATTTTCGTCGAAGTAATATTTTCGCGTGTACTTGGTGGTTTTAAATAATGAATGCTTTGTTTGGAGTGAAGTGTCAAATCCAGCTGAATTTATTTGTGTACTGTCCATCACGCCAACTCTTACTGTTTTTCGTTTCAGGTTGAAAAAGCCAAAATGAAGCTCCTCTTTGTTCTGGCCACAGTGTTGGCCTCGGCTTGTGCCATCTCATTCTTTGACTTGGTTATGGAGGAGTGGGCCACTTACAAGGTATCTGATGTGAATCCTTTGTGTTTGAACTTAATGAAATGACTTTGAACACATCTTTAGAGGCACCATGTTGCTTTCTTGTTTTGACAGCTGTCTCATAGCAAGAAATATGATAACGATGTGGAAGAGAAGTTCCGCATGAAAATTTTTATGGAAAATAAGCATAAGATTGCGAAGCATAATGCTAAGTTTGCTCGAGGAGAAGTTGCATACAAGTTGGGTCTTAACAAGTATGCCGATATGGTTAGTACTTAGATTCTCTCTTAAATTTTCTTATCACCCCTGCCTGCCATGGTTATGTTAAATTTTTTTTTAATGTAGCTCCATCATGAGTTTACCCACACCATGAATGGTTTCAACCGCTCTGCTCGGCTGGGAATGGTTCAGGGAGTCCATGAGAGGATTGGGGCCACCTTCATTCGACCAGCCAATGTTGAGATTCCCAAGAGTGTTGACTGGAGGGAAAAGGGAGCTGTTACTGACATCAAGGATCAGGGTCACTGTGGATCATGCTGGTCTTTCAGTGCGGTATGTCTTGTTTACACCCAATTTTCTGTCGACCAAAGAGTTTTATGGTTCTAATCATTTAAAATTTGTTTTTCAGACTGGAGCTCTTGAAGGACAGCATTTCCGTAAAACAGGTACTTTAGTTTCCCTCAGTGAACAGAATTTGATTGATTGTTCGGGCAAATATGGGAACCAAGGATGCAACGGTGGTTTGATGGACAATGCTTTTGCTTATGTTCGTGATAATCGTGGTATTGACACTGAGAACAGCTATCCTTATGATGGAGATGTAAGTTCATGATTAATTTAGACCACGCTTTCAGGGTGATTTCAGATTTAATTGTAATCATTACAACTTTTCTTCAGGATGAGAAGTGCCGTTACAACCCCAAGAAGTCTGGTGCCACTGACACTGGCATGGTTGATATCAAGCCTGATGAAGAACACTTGAAGGAAGCTGTTGCTACCATTGGACCTGTTTCAGTTGCTATTGATGCCAGCCATGAGAGCTTCCAATTCTACAAGGAGGGTAAGGCTTTGATTTCCATCAAGAATGGTTTCTGAATGTTTGACCAATTTTAATTAAATTTTCTGTCTAACAGGAGTTTACTATGAGCCTGAATGCTCCAGTGAAAACTTGGATCATGGAGTTCTGGTTGTTGGGTATGGAACTGATGAAGATGGCAATGATTACTGGATTGTGAAGAATTCATGGGGCACTTCTTGGGGACAGGATGGCTTCATCAAGATGGCAAGGAACCGTGACAATCACTGTGGTATCGCGGCTTCTGCTAGCTATCCCCTTGTTTAAGTTGTGTCATTTGTATCTTAAGATTTTGATCAAAGTGCTGTGATGATTTCTGCCAATGAGGTAGGGACTTGACTTTGGATAAATGATTGTCACTTTCATCTGTGTGTACCTGATGTGACAAGTTGAGTTTGTTTTCATCACTTTGTCAGAAGCATATCTTCTGTTAGCTTGAGGAACAATTTGTCATATTTTCTGTGGTTGAATGCTTTATTAGCTTTACATCTCATTTTTTTAAATATTATGGCAAGTTCTGTGACTTGTATCTTTTACCCTCTCATGTGTGAGTGTCTCAGTCATTAGATTTTATGTCTGTAATTCCATTCAATTAAACTCACTTTTTTTAAAAAAAAATTGTGTTTCATATAAAAATGTGAATAACCTTTCTCTACACTAAGCCTCTGCCCAATCAGCCATACTGATGTAGGGAAACTAAATTTGTTATTTATTGGCAATCTTTCTGTTTGACTGTCAAACATATGTAGGTCCCAGGTTTCTTTTTATTGAACTCTGACGACGTCCAATTCGTGTGAAAGACAGGGGTCCTATTGTCGCTTTTTCGCTCGGGCCTTTAATTTAAACTGGGCTGAAAATGCATGCGTGCCACGGCTCTCACCAAGTCAATCACCAGCACACTCTCTAGCTCTAACAGCAAAAGGACTCGAGTAATCTGGGTCGGCCAGCTCTAGGCCAGCCGCCCGGGCCGGAAGGACCGTCTGACCCCACGCTTCACCAGCGACCGCAAGGCGCGGAAGGACTAGGCAGACACAAACGTCGCACATGAGGTCGTGACACAGACAACAGCAGGTCGAGGAGGGAGGCGCGTTTATCCACTCCTCCCCCTCTTTATCTTAACTCACTAGCAAATAAAATCGAACGCGTATGCTGTGACACTTTCGTATCGTTGAGGATACCTCAAACGTATCGTGTCGATATCTGTCTGACTTCTTGAAGAGGCCAAACAAAACTCAAACGCTATCTTTCTCTCTCGTATCGATATCGCCAATAAAGTCATTCCAGACAGTACTGTAAATCTATACTTTCATAAGGATTATACCAGGAGGGAAGTCCAATTCGCGTTTATAGCTGGTTCACTAACTGTAGACACCGGCCAGGCTCTATTGCGGATACAATGGAGCCCTATTGTACTCACAATGAGGACTGGCCTGCTGAGGTGTCTACATTTAGTAAACCAACTACATGTTGTTTCTTCAGTTATTACTACATGGGTGCGTGAAAGAGAACGCATGCGCATCATGCGCATTGAACTGCAACCACCGTTCTTGCGTAAATGTCGCCCGCAGTAAGCCTAAGCCTCCACAGAACCCTGACGTACGGACTATATCGCCCGCCAAGGGACCATCCAGGAAGAACGTCCGTCTTTCGCCGTTACGAACCTGTCAAGTTCGACCACTTCAAGCTCCCATAGCGCCTAGTAGGTAGGCAACGTCCAGCCTGCAGGGCACGCATGTACTGCGGGATGGCCTACCCCGAGTCTCGCAGGCGCCGAGCTATCGATATTTGGCGAATGAATCTGAGAGGAAAACAGACGCTCTTCCTGGACCATCCCCAAGTCCCCAATAAAACACACGTTACTTGCGGACGGCCCCTAGCCGTCGGGCCCGGCCTGGCCCGGCCTGGCCCGGCCCGAACTAACAGGAAGGTCCCCAACAGGGAAGAGGGGCGCGGGGGCGGGGCGGAGCTGGCTCGCCATTTCCCAGGCTCTTGTCTCTTATCTACTGAGCCAATATTATTGGAACCGGTTGTCTGGTCTCCGGCCCGGCTCGGCCGCTGCCTTACTGTACACGGGCAAACCGGATCGAACCGGGCGTGCTGTAGTCGGTTTGCTCGGGAAAACGAATCGGGGAGAGGGAAGGAGAAATATCCGTTCTAAAGAAAGAGCAAGGCGCATGTGCTGAGTCACGGACCGTGATGCTGGGGGTAGTGGTCCGTCGGCCAAGCGGCATTGTCCTCTGACCATGTGTCCAAGAGATGTGTCTTGATGTGTCGCATGCGCGGATTAAGGGTGGAAATCCGGGGGGGGGGCGTCCCCGTCGTCATAATGAGCCGCCTGGCAGAAAGGCAACTTACTATACACAGCACCTGTAGGCAACCCACGGTGCACCCCCTGCCCCTTTGCCGTGGTGTGTATCGTATAGGAGCAGTACGTGTTAACTGTCTGCCCCCCCCCCCCTCCTTCTCCTATCTTTCCCTTCGGCTTTCAAGACACTGCCTGATTTGGTTTGAATCATTGGTGAATGTTTGATGTCCGCGGTGGTGGTTGGTGGTTTACCGCGACACGAGAAGGGTAAGCTTCTTGCCCCAATACTGACTGCGCATGTGTACTTCCTGGTCACGCGAGCACAATCGTGAACAAAATCAGTGGGATGATGCAATGAGCTGGGGTGGTGACGGCCGAGCCCGGCTGAGCCCGCAGCTCTTCTCGCCCGGAATGCCGCGTCGCCGTGTTTTGCAGTGTCTCCGCCCCGCCTCCTCTTCCCACGGGGAACGGCAGCGGCCAGGGAAGTTCCCACTCCGGCAGAGCAGCCCCCTGCCCTGGACCACGGCAACTCCTCCCGCTCCTCAATCGCGACCGCTCCGACGCTAGCTGCTAAATTTCCACACGACACTCTCTTCTCCGCGTGGAAGTTTTGAGTGTGTGTGTGAGGCATGTGAGGGCGCGCGCGCGCGACTGTGTGTGTGTGCGTGTGCCAAACATTTGCCCGACCTCCGGCGCATATGGTTTGCATCGTTTGCATCTCTGTTTAGTGTCATCTGGAAGGGCGGGGCGGATGCCGGTTGGATGTGGAAGGTGCCGCGCGGGGCGCGGCGGTTGGGTTGGGTACCCCCTAGGGAACGCCTCCCCCTCCCCCTCCCATCACTGCATTATCGCAAGTGACCGGCTGACGGGGCGCGGACATGAGGCATGACGTTCGCATAACACGAGGCACAACAGCTCCACGGAACCAGCTACATACGCCTCAGCCATGATAACGCTTCTCATGGCCATAGCGTTCGACATCCCTGCTCGTTCGAATTCTTTTCACTCACTTTCTTATCAAGAGCGGCTATATTGCCGGCCCGTCTGGCCGGCGGGGCGAATGTCTCGATGTTGCCTATATGGTGGCTAACTCGCCCCGCCCGCCAACCATAGTGACACAGTACATGGGATGCACGCGTGCATGCCGTTTGCATACTCACCCGGGCAGCAAGACGCCAGACACGGCGCGGGTGGATTGGGGGGAGGCAGGTGATCCACATATGTATTTCAAGCTTTCAGGCATTTCAGCAGGCGTCTCGTTTTACACGTTCAGTGCGGTGTGACCACTATGGGGTCACGCCCCCCCACACCAAAAACAAGCCGCACTGAACGTGTTAAAGCTGCGATCGGTGGGTATGGTATGGTATGGTGGAGACCAGCACCCCCCCCCCCTCCCCTAAGATGGACGTTGCTGGCCCTTCTTTGAATGTTCGAATGTTCGCACCCCACAAAATGGTAATGTACAATTTTGGCGTACACTAAGAGATATGTTTCGTTGCAGCCATAAAAAATTGTTCGATCGGTCCGGATTTGTCATGGCCATCAAAATTTTAGTCGCAGCAATAACTAAACTTTTGGTTACAGCAACCAAAATTTCGGTTACAGCAACTAAAATTTCGATGCCTATGACTAAGCCGGACTGACCGAACATAATTCAAAATTTTGATGGCTGCAACGAAACATTTCTCTCAGTGTATTTTTCGCACATATGAATGTCCAGAACTACACGTTCATCTCAGAAACGATGTACAAATTTGTACAGATATTATCATAAATCCGGTACGGGTACGTGCTTGATCGAGAAGTGCACAGGGAATGGGGAAAAGGTTGGTGAATTTCTCGCGGGTGCGGAAGGCGTTGGGTCCTCTACTCTCCAAGTGGGTGTTGGTGTACAATGAGTACAACGTGTACAACGTGAGTGTCCGCGAGTATTCGAGAGTATGAGCGAATCCACGGAATTATGCGAGTAATGGCGAGTATCCGCGAGTATAAAGCGAGTATTTCTCGATTTTTCCGCGAGTTGTCGCGAGTATCTTGCGAATATTTTTCCTCGTGTACAACGAGTTGGCGAGTGGGGGACCCCTCGGTGGAAGGGCATGGTGTTATGACTCATCAACTGCAACAAGCTTGTTTTCGGTAAAGATTGGCTCTTTTTCGCCAGCTGGTCTTTGGGCATGTGGGGGTTTCGCTAATCGCTGACTAAGATGTCGTCCGCGGATTCTTCATTGTATGGTTTGTGATTGAACTGCTCCACGAGTCATGCGGCGGTGCCAAGCGCGTAGCCACCGCTGATGAGTCAGGCGAGTACCGACTCCTCATCGCCGACTCATGGAGAGGGAGCTATTCGCGAGCGCGCCATCGGCGCGCCGCCACCCCGTGACACGACGCAGCGGTTTTACGGGTCTTGTTCCGATGAATGAGATCAGCAAGCCTGCAAGCCTCGTGTTTGCGTCGAACGAGTAGGGGATGAGTACACTAGTACACGAGTGTACTCGAGGGGAGAATGTAGAAGTACCGGGTGTAACTGTGAATACGCAGCACGCAGCAGTGTTGCGGGATTGCATACTCAATCTAGCCGCAAAGGGGGGAGGGGGGGCATGCTAACAGGTGTAAAGAGTTGGAAAACGCAACACTGCTGCGTATTCACAGTTACACACGGTACACTCTAAATGGAAAAGGACAGTGAGGATGCGTTCTTAAGCACATTTCAAAGAGACACAAATTTGTGTCTGAAAAGTTGCAGTTCGTACCCAGCCTAAGTACAAATTACTTTTTTGTCTCTAGTTAAGACACAAATTTGCGTCCTATTGAGATAAACTTAAGAGCTCACCCTTCAAAATTGTACTGCCCCATTTAGAATGTAGGCCGGCACGGCTACCACGCAGCGGGTTGTACGTACTTACATTCGGTGATCCGACAGCGAAAGACACGACAAGGGCCGAGCATCCCCGTCTCCGCTGTCGGATACGCAACGCGCCTGCGGGTCGACAGTCCCGCCACACCAGGCCACTGCCCGTTGGGTTGCCTATGGCGCGGGCGACTCACCCGGCGACTCCCACCGCCAGGGCCAGGCCAGCTGAGCAGACCGCGGAGTGTTTACAACCCCTCACAAGCGTCTTTCTCGAGTGCGCTTTCAACGGGTAGTTGCGGTGGCTACATGGAATAAAGACGTTTGAAAGTTCTTATGCGACGTTGTTTTGCAGTTTCTCACTTTCCCATTTGTCGGTGAGTATAACCTTTAAGTAAACTACTTGACGCTTGACGGGTAACTAACCTCACATTAAATTTTTGACGGATAGTGCAGTGCGTTCGAAGACAAAGATGACTGACTGGTCTGTCATTCACACGTTTCTTACAATTTTATATATTTCCATCAAAGTTTAAAGCGCAGACAAAACAATCTCTTTGTGAGAGACCTTAAACATGTCGAGTCGGTGACCATGCACGAGAACCAGCAGCGTCAGAATGGACCCCCGTAAAATCACACTGATTTTCCTATTGCCCTATCCGACATAGGCACGTTACTACGTTGGTTAGCAAGGTGTCCCAGATTCGGTAACTCAACACAAGTAAGGGTGACTTGTTTCTCGAATGTGATAGATCATTCCTCCCCCCACTTCACTTTAAGTATTGTAACCGTTCAAAGTTAGCGATTTGTGAAATACAACATGTGAAGGGGTCAGAGCAGGGGGCATCGGAAAAAGGAGGGGGGGGAGAGATTGCAAGCTCCTTTCACTTATTGAGGTTGACCAGACCAAGCAAGTGTTTGTTGCTGTTTTGCACTTTTCTCTGTTTACCTTAATCATCAAAGTCTTGAAATGCCTGATTTTCTTCTTGAGTTTTTGAGTGTTTTTTTCTCGTTTGTCTAGTGTTTCTGGTTGCCCTACTGCTCAACGATCCGGATTTACTGGATGTAACAAAAACTATTTTGAACTATTTTTGTGAGTGAACCCTACATCACTTCTCTCTCGCGGTTTCCCACATCCCTCAGCCGAAGACTTGCGTAAACCTCAGGTTTTGTTTCCCAGGCTCCCGTCTGAGACGTCGACCGAGCTCCTCATGGCTTTGGCACGCCCGCCCGGGTCGCGCCTGCTGCTGGTCGCCACGCAGACGGCCTCGTGGACCGTCGCCCAGCACGTTGGAGCGTGCCAGAAGGTGCTCACCCCCATGACGGTCGAGCACGTTGCCATCAGACCACTAGTCGGTTATTATGGGAAGATCGGCTGCATTAGCCTGTTGATACAGAACTTCGCCTCGGCCGGGGCGGGGGCGTGCAATGTCCACTGTGTGATGGAGGCGACGAACGGCGACCAGACCAGCCGGGCAGAGGGACGCGTCTGTTTGAATTACGCCCCAGGACAGGACGGTAATATAGTGGAGGTTATGTCGCTACCGTGCCTAGGCCAAACCTTCAACGAGCTGCAAGTGAGCTTTGCGATCTTTGACGCATCTACCTGTAGCCCACCTACTGGCGTGGGTGTCGGCCTCAACAAGTGCCGCCTGGCGGGCACGCTCTGCGATGTGAAGCTGGTGGTGGACGGCGGCGTGGAGCTGGCCGCGCACCGCGCGGTGCTGGCCGGCCGCAGCCAGGTGCTCAACAGGATGCTGACCGGGGACTTCAAGGAGGCCCGCGAGGCCCGCGTCGAGCTGCTGGACTTTTCCAGGGCCGCTGTTGAAAAGTTTTTAGAGTACCTGTACCTGGACCATGTAGAGGACTGGGACTGGGGCGGCAGCGAACTCGAACTGCTGCAGCTCGCCGACAAGTACATGGTGCGGGAGCTGTACTCGGACTGCTCCCTGAGGCTGTGGTGCTGCGACTCCCGCCGCGCCCTGGAGGTGCTGCACGCGGCTGGCCTCACCGACATCCTGAGCAGCAAGCTGCGTCAGCGGCTCACGGGCATCGTAGTGGCGGACATCAAGGCCTTGGTCGGCACCGAGCAGTGGACCGCGTTCCGAAAGAGGTATGCCACCATCGCCGACACCATACTAGGCTCCACCGCCAGGCTTCGCAAAACTGTCCAGTGACCTTTGAGTTCGCCTTTATATGAGAGTGGTAGTTCAATTTAATTTAAATTGTTTTTGATAAAAACTATCGTGTGTCAAAGTAGCTCTTAATTATGTTCGCTTGCTCAATCAATGATGGCGGCCACTGCAGTATTGTTTAGTTAAATGTACTTTTTCGTTTTTACATTTTTCGTTGGCACGTGCATGTGTTTCCAAGTAGTAAAAATGTTGTTTCTGTGTTTTATGTCCACCTTGTGCACACATAATGTAACTCCCCTGCAATATACTACCTGCTAAAATTCTATGCGCGTAATAATGCGCATAAAAGGTAACGCAGTTGTTCCTTTTATGCGCATTACGTACTTATGCATTTCATTCGTATTTAATGCAGTAAAATGCGGAACGAATGCGTCACCTTTTATGCGCATTTTAATGCTCATTACCAAATGCGGCGTTACCGGGGAGGATAGCCGTCAGCAGGTCGGCCAAGCCGCGACCATCCGCGAGACTATTTATGTTTGTCCTCTTTTTGGCGTCTTTGGCACTCTAGGGGGGGGGGGGGGCAAAAGGACCCCCAAAATTGTCAGTCACTAAGCAAAGTGAGAAGTGGAGTTTCAAATCGACGTTGATTGGAAGTCGAAATCGAAAATTCGTCGATTTGTGGATAAACTCGAATTGATGTCCTCTATTTCCTCTGGGACGTCAGGCCTCTACGCCGCCTCTTGCCCCGTTTTGGTCGGGCAGATCTATCTGCCCAGCATGCGCGCCGGTTGGGTTGCCTACGTGGAGGGCTGGGCTGGTGTGGTCGCGCTTAGCCACACATTCTCTTCGATGACTTGCCTTTTCTACTATTCTAGCTAGTTTCTTTACTAGTTTAGTGCACAAGGAAACAAATTTGACATTTTTCTCGCGCAGGTCAGGGGGATTTGGGCACCTTGAGACATCAGATTCCACGAAGTGTTTTGAATTTTCGTGACGGCAAAAGGGGACGAGAAGATAGCAACGGGTGTGTGCGTAGACCCTTCTCACAGCAGGCTCGGTAGTGGTGTCCAAGCGGTGGCCTAGTAGTGAACTGCTGAGTGAAGTACATACCAGGTGGACGATTAACCCCTCTCACTTCTGTAGTTATGCTGTACCGCACGCACGAGTGCGGACGGGCTTGCCTATCGCCCCTGTCCACGGGCCGAGCGAGTAGACAACCCACCCGCACTGGTGCGTGCGGTACAGCATAACTACAGAAGTGAGCGGGGTCAATCAGCCACCTGGTACACTACACACGAATTTGGCAGCTTCCCGAGGAAAACCTTCGAAAAAATGTAGTCTCTATCTTAAAATTTTCCTTCACATGACCGCAAATTTAGATTATGTTTCTTTTAACCTAAACCGTTTTTCGAAGGAGGGTGGAAATTGGAAATTTTGGTGTCTCTAGGATGCAACAACAGACACGTCACGGTGATACCTGTCATTATCGAAAAGTCTCGACACAAGAATAAGTCCACCCATCAATCTGGCAAAGATGGCAGAATTCGTGCGTATTTTTTCTTAAACTGTGAGACAATGTTGGGTGGACAAAATACAGTGTAAGCAAATGAGAACCGCTTTAATCTCACGGGAATTATTGGGATACAACAAAATTCTGACTCTCACAGTTCCTCTTCCCCCCACCATTTGGACGGGAGCCACCAGCTGCTATAGGATAGTCTACGCACCGTCTACCGTCGCTGAAGCTCACACATTATTTCGAAATAATATCGCGACTGTCTCCGCTCCGGTTGCCCCTGTCATCAGGCGTCCCACCCTCTAAAATAAATATTACGACGTTGTTTGTTTTTCTGTTTTTTGTTTTTTTATTTAGAAGAATGTAGCTCAAGCGGCGGAGGCGGCGCGGCTGCGGCATAGCGTTGTGACCACGTGGAGCCGCTTCCGCACAATCACTCCGCAGTGCAGGTTGACATTGGTCGGGCCGTTGCCCCGCACGCCCCGCCCCGCCCCGCCCCGCCACACTCACCCAGGCCCTGCCACGCCCCTATGGGTCTGCCTCACTCCCACCCGCGGGGCGGTCCATGCTCGCAGCCTCCGCAGTCCACGCGCGGTTCAAGTTCAGCCGGCCGGCCGGGCTCAGGCCGGGCTTGTGGGCGCACGTGCCGCGCCGGCCGCATCGTCTCCGCCAATGATGGCGTCCCTCCCCTCCTCCTCTCGCCGTATTTATCTCCCATCCGTCATCGCGCCGATCCCATGGAGACCACCGCCCGTCCACCGCCCATTTTTCCCGCCCTCCGCGTTCCGTCCGATCCGGACGTCCGGGTGGTCCAGCGGCGCTGTGGTCTGGGAGACGCACGATGTTCCGCGCGCATTACCGATACGGGCGCCGTGGGGAGCGCTGTCAGACAGCAGGGAGGTGCCCCGGGGGCCGGCCGCCTCTCCCCTTTGGACCCCGCGGCGCGTCGCGCCCAAGAGCGATCAGTCGATCGTTGTGCGGCCTTGTTGCCGCAGTCCTGAGCCTGGCCTGAACCGAATAAGACTGTGGGACGGGCTTATTGTTTCGATGACGAACGCTCAGCCGCTCGGGGGACCGTCGGAGGCAGCAGCAGCAGTGCCGAGCCGGTGCCTTCCTACCTGTGGCAGTCGGAGCCTCGGATGCACTGAGTTTGCTGTAAATGTTCCTGGGCCTGGGTGCTAGGTTGAGCTCCTAGCGCAATATATTGCAACCAAAAAGCTTCGATCTGGACACGACTCTAGACGTATAGTGATCACAGCCAAAAGAGACCATTTCTCTTTGTGGCGTCTTTCGGGGACCACTTTGCCTCGTAGAGCAGAGCTGGCGTCCAGCCCGCGCCCGGAGCCTCCGTCAGGTTGCAGTGGGATAGGCTGGGAGGAATTAAAGAGAGGAAGGAAATGAAACTGCGCCGGCGGGGTGGGGCGTGGCGGCGGCTGCGGTCCATAATGGCGCCAATTGACCAAACAGTTGGCGGAGCTCAATGAGGAAGCGGTTGGCCCGCCCTGGAGCACGCCTCATCCTCCGGACGGGCACAGAGGGGCTGCTGGCACCGCGACAGCGCCGGGGCTGGCAGGACAACTAACTGGCAGTGTAGTTTATTGCCGGTCGACGACATGGCAGGCGTGACGGGGCTCATGCCAGGCGGCTCCTGCCGCCGTCGCGTGTACTGTACTTCACTCCGGGCCAGGCGCATGGAGGCTACTTATCGCCGCATAGTGAGGTACCATCGAGTACCATATGCGGATGATTCGCCCCCCACCCCCCACCCACTTCCGTAGTTATTGAGTCGAATGCACAGTGCCAGGTTCTGACAGGCGAAAGGCCAATACCCGCCGTACAGAGTAGCTTCGAATGTGATCCGGGTGTGGTATATGGGGGGGGGGGCTGCCCCCACCCCCTTTCTCCCTGTCGTCTCCAGTTTGCCAGCCGAAAGACGATTCGGGAAACAAAACTCCTGTATAAATGTAGGCAACCCACGCCGCATCGCCCCGCGCGTCCACCAGCCAGCCCTCATGCAGCGTCTGATGTGGACAAGGCGAATCAGCTACACCTAGGACCGTGTGTGGGGCGTTATAGTCAGGGCTACGACACAACAGTGTGGCGGGTTTGCTCACCCTGGGCGCCATGACGCTTTACGGATGAGCCCATTAAGCAAACACGCATATCCTGTTGTGTCGTCGCTCTGATACACGGTACTCACCGTCTATTTGCGTGGGCTGCAAAGAGCCGGGAGCCGACAAAGAGCAGTCTTCGGCATTCACGTCGTGCCGCCCTCCGTTCTCCACGCACTCCTAGTGGCCGCGGGTGGCCCCTGCTGGCCGGCGCGGCGGGAGGACGTAACACCTCCGCCTCCCTAGCAGTAATTTGGAATACGTGTACTCGGCGGGGCTGGCCGGGCTGGCTGGCCGAGCCGAGCCGCGGCGCCAGGGCCCGGTTAGGCGGGTCCGTTGCAGGACCCCGGGTGGGCGGTGTGGCGGCGCCTTGCCTCGCCTGCAGGGTGGGAGCCGCTGGACCACGGCGAGTGGGTACTTCGGGAGGACAAGAGATAGGTTGGGCCATCATACGCGATGCGCGTCGGATTTGGACCAACGGAGGTGCATTTAAAAGGTCGTAAAATTACCATTCAAATGACCCACCGCCGGGCGAAATTCGTAACGGGGAACACGACGCGCGACGCGCATCGCGCCCAAAGTTCAGCGATGGCCAACCCTAACGAGAGAGGTGGCGCGGCGTCCCTTGGCAGTAGTCCCGGCCCGTCCCGCGGCGCGTCGGCCCTCCAGGCCCGGGCCGCTGGACACGCAAACAGGTTTGCGAACGCGGCCACAGCCACTGGGAGCAGCTCGGCGGGCCACTCGGAAGTGGCAGGCGCCCCCCCGGCCACGCCGAACTCTTCGTCGTGCCGCCGATCGGACTGAACCCAACGGAACCCTCTAGAAGACAGTGATGTAACCGGCAGCCGCACTGCCCGGCCGCGGGGTGCAGGCGTGGGCGCGGCCCTCAGCCTCGGCGACCCGACGTGACACGGTGCGAAGCGGTGTACACACAAGTGATTTGACGCCCGTCCAGCTTGGCCAGTGTGTCGCATCGGAGTCCCCCATCGGGTGCCGGCGCAGCGGCGGGTGCCAGGCCGTCCCCAGCCGGTAGCAACTCCCTACGGCCGGGCTGACACACTGTCTCGGCCGCGCCGCTGGGCCGGGGCGGCGCCCGCGCGCGCTGCAGCTCTCTTTTCTATTTGTCATATCTCCTGTACCAGACCTCCTTTTAACAAAGCGCCTTATGGCGCTAGAAAGAGAAAAGAACGAGGAATCTAATGATATAAATAAAAGTCACTGAATCGAACCGGAAACACTTTAAAATGCGAGTTGAACGCGACCTACGGGGTCCGGAGACGTGACAGGGCAGCCTATTTTCATTTTTTTCGAGGTTAAAAACGCTTTTAACCCGCCGACCACCAGTGAATCAAATGTTCTACAGATCATGCCGAATCAGAATCGCAGGGTGCGATTTTTTTATACTCACCTCG